TTTTTGTCTCTTTTGATAAGTTTTAGCTTGAAATCCACTTTGTCAGCAAATTGACTTACTACTCCTACTTTTTTCTCAGTTTCCTGTTGCATGGAGTATGGTTTTCTATTCTTTGACTTTCAGTCTATGCATTTCTTTTTGGTTTAAAAGTAAGGAACCAACGGGAAAATAATATAATGAGAAGAATAAGTAAGTACCTATCAGTTACAGCCATCAATTTGCATGGTCTCAGTTCAATAATCAAAAGGAACAGATTAACAGAATGGATCTAGAAACAAGATCCAGCTCTTGATGTATCTCTTGCAAGAACGAAAATCATTTTTCAGCAATGAGACCGTTGACATTCCAGAAAATGTCACTCAGAAGGGCCACACAGTTATTGTGAGAAGCTCCAGAGGAGCCCTGTCATGGGGACTTTAACCATATCAGTGTAGAGCTCAGTCTCATCAGAAAGAAAAAGCAGGGCTCCAGGCTGACAAATGGTTGGAAAACAGAAAGGGCTTGGCTGCTGTTCACATGGTCGGTAGTCAGGTACAGAACAGGACCGCGGGTGTGGTGATGGGCTTCTAGTGCATGATGAGGTCTGTGTATGCGTACTTCCCCATGAACATTGCTATTCAGGACAATAATTCTCTTGTTAAAATGTGGAATTTCTTAGGTGAGAAATATGCCCACCACTTTCATTTGAGTGAAAATGTTACTTGCTCAGTATCTCAAGCCCAGAAAGACAAGTTAATCCTTGCAGGAAATGACATTGTTTGTATTTCAAATTCAGCTGCATTGAGTCAGCAAGTCACAGCAGACAAAAATAAAGATATCAGAAAAACTTTAAATGTTACCTGTATTTCTGAAAAGGGAGCAGTTCAGTGCCTGATGAATAAGAGTTATCCAGCCACAGAAACTAGCTTTGGGGACGGGGAGATGGCTCAGTAGAATAAGTTCTTCCCTGGCAAAGGCAGGGGTCTGAGTTCAATCCCTTGTTCTGCCAAAAAAGAAAAAGAAAAAAAAAGAAAAGAAAAGAAACTAGCTTTGGTATGTAAGATCGATTCGTGATTTTTCTTTTTAATGATCCAACAGTGTGCTGCTATATATGAATATGCTGCACATGTTCTTGTCCAGTTCACTTTGCAGCCATCACTGTGAAGAGAACTGAGTTCATGAACCAAGTTATCCTGTACTTCACTCCAAGCTCTCCTTGACTTGAGGGTTTGCTAGAGAAGTCTGCTATGATTGTGATGCGTTGGTCTTTATAGGTGATTCCTTAACACCTTTTAATACTGTATTGTTGTGCTTGACTTCTGGAATCTTGACTGTTATATGCCTTGGTGTTTTTCTTTTCTTTTCTAACCATTGCTATTTGGGGCTCTAAATCCCTCACTTATCTGTATGTCAGATTCTTTCCTATGCTTGGGAAGTTTTTTCCTGTTACTTCTGTAAACAGGGTTTTTATGTTCTTTGTGTTATCTTCTGATTTTTCGATTATTCTAATTTATCTTAGATTACTCTCCTTTGCATTATCTAGCAGCTATTGTAGTGGTTCTTTTTGTGGTTTGTAAAAAATATTTCATTTGGTGATCACTACCCACAGCCCTGTCCTCTAGATCTGGTATTCTGTCTTCCTGTTGGTTTGCTCTACCCAGGTATATGCTTGCATTGTTTCATGGCATCCAGTTCTTTCCTATGTTGAGCATTCATGGTTTCCCTAAGCTGGTCTATTGTTTATCTGTATCTACTCACTGACCATGTCCTTCATCATGGTCATCATCTCTTTGTCTAATTACTTCTTTTTCTGTCTTTGTCTACGGACATATTCACCTATGTAGGAGACCTATCTCCATAACTTCTCCATGCCATTCCTACAGTTTTATGTTTAGCTATGTAGCTTTTGAATTCTTCCATCTCATTGCCCTCTGGGGCTCTTTGGGGGGAATTGAGTTTTTCATTGCATCTTGCTCCTGTGTTTTCACATTTTCTTTCTTGTTTCTGTTTATTTGTTTTCCACATTAAGACTTACATGTTGCTTATGGTAGGTAGTTTTATTGCTAGTATCAAGACCTCTTTAGGTAATGACTATTTTTCAGATGTCTTCCAGGCATAGCTGGCTTTTGACCTTTGAGTCTGTCCCAGGATCCTGCCTTTTTCTTTTATTAGGGATGAGAGGTTGCAGCCTATTCTGCCTAGCACCTTTGGTACTAGGCTCTAGTGTTATATGCCTCCAAAAATCTTGGTCTTGGTTCATAGGGAGGATCAGTTGCTCATAGCAGCTCTGTCACCTTGGCTAACTTATCACATTGAGTAATATCTGTAGTATCAAACACAAACTGGAAAATGACAAGCTGTAATAACTAATACTTGGTCACCTTTAACCCTAGGTACAAGGTTTATGGTTATATAGCAAGATCTAAGACAAATCAGAAAATTATATACAGTAAATATTTCCCCAATAGAAAAAATTTACCCGCTTTTACCTTAAAGCATCATTCAGACATAGTAAGGTATAGTTAAACTCCTGTAGAGTCACAAGGGTAGGCAGTATGGGTGTGATAGTATGAAGAAAAAAGAGAAAAGAAATAGATTCTGAAAAATAAAGCAATGCAGGAAGGTGTCTAAAATGATAGCTATGTAGAGGATTGATGGAGAAGGTGCTGTTAAGAATGCAGGGACATCAGTGGAATTAGATAACACTAACAGACGACTACTGAGGAAAGGATGATTAATGGGGAGTGGAGATTAAATTAGAAGAAAAGAAAATAATAAAAAATACTAAGGGAACTAGTTGAAAGAGAGAAAGAGTGTGTTATGGTTTGTGTGTAGGTGTCTCCCCAAAGCCTCAGGCAGTCATGGGGCAGCATCTGGAGTTAGTGACTGATTACTGTGGGCATGAATGCTGCACCTGCCCTGGGGCAGGCCATTTACATTACAGTGTAAGGAGGGAAGAGAAGCTAGCTGCTTGAGCTGCTGCTCCTCCTACCTTTTGCTGCTTTGAAAGGTTGCCCTCTGCCATGTGTCACTTTGCCGTGGAGCCAGCTGAGTATGGACTGAAACCTCCAGTAACTGTGAGCTAAAGAGACCTTTCCCTCCCTCATTTTGAGTGTTGCATATTTGTCCCAGCAAAGAGAGAAGTATAACTGAGACAGAGTGACAAGAAGGGGCAGAGAGGATAAAAAAGAGGACCTAGTCAAACAAATAAAAACCAAAGTAATCTTAAAGGAACAAGAAAATTGGTGATAAAACTACAACTTCAGCCGAAGGAAAAAAATAGTGGGGCAAAAAAACCTATCAATAATGGAGGGGAAGAGAGAGAGGGAGGGAGGGAGGGACGGTGAGAGGGACCGGGGTGGGGTGGGACAGGGCAGGGTAGGAGACGGGAGGGGAGAGAGGAGAGAGAGATATTCCTATTTATTTCCAGAGGAGTACAGTCAGTAGTTCTTAATATTAATAACGAGTCACATTCCTGTTTGCCCCTTTATAGCCAGCGAGACTCTATGGAGATCCCTCAGTTCAAGGGGACCCCTCTCCATAGTTCCTTGCTGTGGCAGTTGTTCTAGCTGGGGACTGAGCCAGGGAAGGTGTGGACCATACTTCCTGTTGTAGATTCCTTTTGGTATGGGACTGCCGCTCACTACCTGATGTACATTCCAGTGTTGGTGACACAGGCCCTTGATATCATGTGGAGGCTCCTATGAGCTCTCAAGTCTGCTTATCAGTCCTCTGGATGCTCAGAGGAGAAATAGATCTGCCCAAGACTAATGTGGGCAGTTCCTGCAAGCCCAGTGATGGCACAGAGCCATGCGTGGTGTCTCACAGGTATCCAGAATATGGGGCAGAAGAGGCCGCCATGGAGCCTTGCTGCTCATCCAGGCAGAAGGCTGTCCTGTGGTGGCAGGTAGGGGGTTGTATCTGGGGCTCTGGCTACAATGCAGTTGGAGACTCTGCCCTACATAATAAGGTTCTTAGAACATCCTGTGTAAAACCTGGTTCCCAGGGAACTGATGTTAGATGTCAGACAGAGACTCTGGAAGGGAAGGACTGGAGCAGTTACGGAGAACTTGCCATAAGCTCAAGCTAGTGCAGGGTGCTGACTATGAATTCCAGCTGGACCAGTGTTAGCTCTGGGCACCAAATAATGTCTCTGTTTGGGAGGGAAACACTGCAGGCCCCCAGCGGAGGCTCAGGATGTGCTCTGGGTTCAATATCGAACACACTGAACACAGGCTGTAGTTGTGTTGTTCCTCTCAAGAGTTTGAGAGTGGACAGGAGGAGGGAGGGAGGGAGCAGTTCCCTGGTTACTTGCCCCTGATGTGTGCAGCAAAAAGTGCTGCCAGGCTGCTGAGTCTTCTGTGTGGTGAGGGACGACAGTGAGGCAGCAGGCCCACATTCCCCAGGTCTGTGCTGCGTGGCTGGGCTCTGCTGTGCTGCTTGGATCACACCAGCTATCTCAGAGCCGCAAGTCCTGTGTGGGGTATGGGCTGAGGCCCTGCAAGGCCATCCTGTTGGATTGTATCACTGCTTTTAAACTCCTATGCATATGTAGTTTGATCTGCAAGTCTGGTTTTTTCAATAGACTTTGCATCAGTGTATGTCCCTCCCCTTCTTCCAATTGCCTGTTTTTAGGTGATCTCTGAGTCTCTTGGACACAACTCTTCTATTCAGCCACATCATATTCCTCTCCAATATTTTTTTTTTTTTTGATGTCTTTTTCTTAAACAGTTTGGGGTGGGCCAAAAAGAAAAAGAACAAAATAACCACAGGAAACTCATTTAGCAAAGAGCAGCCCCTCCCTGGGGACACATTTTCTGGTCGCTTGGTGGATCATGGCTTGGGCAGGCCTCAGCATCCCCACAGCGAGCATTTTCCCAGGGCATCTTACAAGTGACAGGCTGCTCCTTGTGGTCTTTCAGCTGGCAGGTACTCAGCAGGGGCAGCGTGGATTTGGGGAAGGCAATTGGGAGACTGTAGCCCATACCTGGGGCTCACCTCTCCTCGCCCTGTCCCCACAGCCTTTCCGCTGTGCTCACTGCCATTACTCCTGCAACATCTCTGGCTCCCTGAAGAGGCACTACAACCGGAAACACCCCAGCGAGGAATATGCCAATGTGGGCAGCGTGGAGCTTGCAGCAGAAGCACTCATCCAGCAAGGTAGGTGAGGGCCGAGGCTGCCCCCCCTGCCCCCTGCAACGAACAAGAGGCACCTGACTGTGAGTTTTGATCTGTGAACATCCGGGCTCATCAGCTCTTCATCATTGTCATCTCTGCCATCTTCCTCATTGTTGTGTACCAGCATCGCTTGTTGCCTAGTTAATGTTATAACAATCACAAGTGGCAATGTAGCACGAGCAGTAAAATTCACACACAGGTTCTACTGTGCCCAGCAGTGCTGGTTTAGCAGTACTACCCTCCTCTCATTAGCCACACTTAACATTTGCAGAGGAAGTTTAGGGCCACTTTTTAATTGCTACTCATGGACAGGAACACTTTTTTTTCCTTGATTCAATGTCTTGTAAGACAGCATTGAGCACAAGTACTTTACCAGTTCTGTTACTGAACATGGTGCTATTTCTAGAGCTTTTTTCTGTTTGCAGTTATAGCTGATGTTATTGTAAGCATGTTTATAGATGACCTCTTTGAGACATATAAAGCTATTAAGTGTAGAGATTATGCATTCTACAAAGGAAAAGTGTTTTAGGATATTGAAACTAATGAGAGTGCATGAAAACTTTTAATAGTATTGAAAAGGATTTTTTTCAGCAGTCACACATTCTCACGTGAGAGCTTTTAGCTCTCGTGCTGTTACTATACAAAGAAATGCTGCTGCATTTAGATCCACACGTCGGGAATGTCACTAAGAATGGCTGCAGCCTGCAGCCTAGGGCCCTTGAGTCCTGTGGACTACTTGAAGCAGAAGACCGTTGCAGAAATCTGCCCTGGTAAACAGAGATGTCAGTTGTGAGCCCTCCTGCAGTAGGGAGGCTCAGTTATCTAAGTCAGCATGAAACTGCTTACTATAATGACCATGAGATGCATCTCAATGTAAAACAAATGAATTGGCTGTATCTTTCAGCACTTTGACAGAACCAGTGCATAGAAATAGATGGGCAGCTTAGACATCTCAGAATCATTGTAAAGCCATACGTCTGGAGTACTGGGGAACATGTGCTATTCGTTTTCTTCAGTGGCAGTTTGATGGAGTCAGGGAGCAGGATGGTGTGGTGGCTCAAATCTTCTTTCTTCTTTAGCTGCGCCATCTTGGGCAAGTTACCTTGTGTCACCTTCTTAGGCCCTTCACCTGTAGGACACAGCTCATTCAGAGCAGCTGTCTGCTGAGATGGGAGAGGGGCTACAATGTGAGAATGTTCAAACATATGGCATGCAGTACTTTTTATCCCTAGCTTTGTACATCTGAGGCTTTTGGGGCCATTACTGCCCCTACTCCTCATGCCGAGGATTTAATTCAAGGTCTCATACCTTCTAGGCTACACTCCTAACCCCCATTGTATTCTTTTTGATAATGCTCATATCCAGGAATCACAGAAGGGAGAAAGAATTGGTCTCCAGAAACGATGGTGAATGTTTTAAGGACAAGTCCTCAAACTGCAACCCAAATACCCACTAATTTATCACAAGGTGCCATGTCTTGGTTACTTTTGTTGCTGGGTCAAAATACCCAACACCCAAAATTAAAGAAGGAAACACTTACTTAGCTCACAGTTCAGGTTTCATTCTATAATCAGCTGGCTATAAGACAGGCTGGCATGGTATATAGGCAACAGTTCATGGCAGCAGAAGATGGCAAAAGCACCAAATGGAAACAGGGAAGGGGACAAGTCTCTTCGTCCCTTATTCTGTATGCAGGCTGCCCACCCTCCAGTGGTATAGCACTCTCACCAGCTCTGTGTCTTCTTGCACAGGCCCAGGATGCTTATGAAGTGACCCTGGATCCTTGCTAGATCACTTAAATGTCTGAACTTCTCCAGGTGACACAATGAACAACCATAGATAGTACATCCTCTACACCCTCGGATATACAACTGCTGGGTTACTTAGTTAAGCTTTTGAACTTCTCAAGTTGACACAGTGTATCAACCATTACAGTCCACCCTTTGTCAACTTGGCAACTAGACATATTTCTGTAAACCAGTTTCCAGATGCAAAGACACTGCTCTCTCAGGGTCACACTGCCTGGACTCCTAGGGCTTCCTAAATTGTGGTGGAAGCCTTCCTAGCATGATAACTCTTCCATTGTGCATGTGCCTAAAACCAGGGACATGTGGACGATGCCAAAGTCTGCTGCCAGTTATGGCAGTTTCCAGTCTTTCTTCTCTCTTGGCTATAGGAGTTCAATGTGTGGATCGCTGGACACTCTGAATCTAATTCTTTTTTTTAGCATGCAGTTGTTTATTTTATTGAGAAACAAATAGTAATGAGACAGTTTCAAAACAGGATAGTAGGAAAGTTACTGGGTCAAAATAACTAATACATTTCATATTGTTGTCTTCATAGTAGTTATACATAGTATAAGATGCAGACATGATATCCTGTACAAATACTATTAGTACAAATCTTTCTTCTCATTGAATTAAGAGAAAGTAGGTGTATATCTATCCTCAATATTTTGTATATACAGATACAAAATGGTCCTTCATTTGTATTCACTTTTTTTGTTTAGTTTTGTCAGAGAAGGGTATTCCATTGCCATTTAAATATTGTAGTAGTGTGAATTCAGCAAAATAATCCAATATAGTCCAGTAGTCTTAGTGGGTTATCAGCAGGACTCTGCAGACCTCAAAAGTCATCTCTGAAACTGCTGGGCTCCAGACATTGTTCCCTGATCTAGCTGTGCTTTCTACCACCCTCCCTGGTTTTTTCCCATAATTTTATTGAGAAAAAAATAGCAATGAGACAGTTTCAAATCAAATTAGTAGGACAGTTTCAATAATTAACACATTGCATAGTGTCTTCCTAGTGGTTATTTGTTGTACAAGATGCAGACATGATATCCCATTTATAAGCACGATTAGAACAAATAACTCTATTCATTGCAACTGAATCTAATTCTAAGGAGCACATTTTCTATGCTGCCACTATTCTGGAATGTAATGCTCTGCAACTTTTTTCTCAAAGCAAAATTTTCACCATTGCAGTTTTGAGGCTGCACAGGACGGTGCCTTGCTGCTGACTGTGATGTCCTTGGAGGTGGCGCAGCGGTCTCCGCGCCGGGCTCTGTGATGTCCTCAGGCCATCTTTTGCATTGTCTTGTTTCTTCTCATCAGTCAGGATCTCTCCAGCACTGTTTTTGCAGTCCATATCTCTAACTGGAGTTTTCTTTCTGGCCAAACTCACAACATTCTAAATCATTCTACTGGGCTTTGTGCTCTTGATTTGCAAAATAAACCTGGCTAAAATACCCCAATAATAGCGATGCCAATGCCTCAAATTTAGGCTGCCTTAAAATTTCTTTTTTTTT